AAAATATTCAAGGGAATTTGAGTAATGGTTATAATAATAGTGTGGAGTCCTCATATGTATAATTGTATATAAATAAATAGGCAAGTAATAATCAGCATTTTAAATTGGTGTGTAAAAGTAACATCGATTCCATAAAAGCACTCGTACGGACCTTCCGCTAGTTTTTTTTTTTAAAACATGAAAAGAGAATAATTTCAGATATAGTGCAAAGGGAAAATACTTTCACATCTTTTAAGTATGGAATCTTGCGTAAAATTCGACAACACTTAATGTTGTCAACACACTATGATTTTTGCAACAAAACTGCTTTAAATTATCAATGCTCTTAATCTATCTCTACTGGACAAAAAATTGAGAAAAATATTCTTGAAACATTTTGATGTTCAAAACACTGCGTCTATTAACAAATTACAAACATTTTGATAGTTTTTATTACTTCACATATAAGCGTATGTTTGAATACAATGTATACATATTACAAATTTCAAATGATAATGTTTAAAGGTCTTCAAAATATGAAAAACTTTAACGAGGAAAACTATTTAATAACGACACAATGATTAACAGTTTAAGAATGGGTTATTGATTATTATGATTTTAAACAATTTTAAATAAAATATATATTTTATGTTTGTTCAATTTTTAAACTAATATTTACTAATGAAAATTTTGATACATTTCATCCAGTTGTCTAATCACTTTCTACTTATTAACAAGAATTTATTTGCAATATTATATTATCACTGAAAAATATGTTAGAAGAAGTTGATTTTTTTTTGTAATTCATGATCAGTTTAGTGGTTATTATATTTTAATCCTCCTCTTTGAAAATTACACATCGCCACAGTATGCCAGACTGACCGGACGGGCCTGTGGGTTGTCCGGAATCATTTCATATATGTTATTTTTTAAAATGTTAAAAAAAATTGCCATGATGGGTAATTATCAACCTGAACTAGTGTTGAATTGTTAGCAACGTTTGATTGCTTTATTAGTTTAAGAGTGTTTACTGAGACGCAAGTAGTGATCTGTACTCCTTATTGTTTACTGTTGATAAGTATTTACTAAGGCACATCAAGTGACATTAACTTGGTATTTATAACTCCTGACACTATTACTAACAAACGGATGGTATTGTATTGAGTTTTGTTGAGATATTAGCATAACTTTTTGTCCCTATACAATTATTTGTTTGCTACAACATTTGAATATTAACAAATGCTAGACGCATTGTATTGAGAGATTAGCATAACGTTAGACTAACTACAATGTATAAAATTGATAAAAACCAAGTTCCTGAATATCTGACTGATATAATCCCAAACTTACGATGTAATTCATCAAGTTACAGTATGAGAAACTCACAGAATTATAATATACCCAAATGTAGATTGCAAGCTTACAAGTCAACTTTCGTTCCCCTTGTTATTGAAGAATGGAACTCATTACCTCTTAAGGTAGGTCGCGGGTTTACTGCATAAAGATTATTACGAGAAAACATATCCCGGAAATTTGACAAAATGTTCCTTAGAATTTAAAGCGTATCATCTGCAATTTTTATTAAATTTGCCTAAGTAGTTTTAATGTTATAGTACTGTAAACGCGGTATAGTTTTTAATCCTTTTTGACGCTTTTACCATTGAAATATATGGGAAAATGACGTTTTTAAGCCAATTTTGTGAAAATAATTTCTTTTTAAAAGGTTGGATAACTTTTTAAAGATGTAGACGAATTATTTAGGAATTTCAAAATGTCAAGATGAGGTAAAATCAAAACCATTAATATAAAAAAATCAATACGTCTTCTCGCTAGATTTTTTGCTAAATAATTTCAAAGTTTTCTTTTAAAATGCTAAAATTTGGCGTTTATGGCGTAATTAATATCTACAACGTCATTTGTTGAACATAGTCACGTTTTACGGTACGAGTGTAAATATATTGACCTATGGAATATGCAAGAATTAAAAGGTGATATCGATACAAAATTTAATTTTATTCATCATTTAATTTATTGCCGAGACATATTAGGATGACCAGCAACTTATTTTCACTAGTATTGTGAAATTCATATTCTGATCACAAAGTCAGAATGAACGGTATAAATAATCCTCGTGCAGCGACATTAACATGCAGCGACAATGTTCACCGCGAGTGAAAAAATATTAGTACCTGTATTTTTAGGAAATGCATGGTCAATAGGATTTCAGTCATAAAACAAAATTTTGATCACTTTATTTGAAAACGGTAGGAAAAACATCCCTATAGTGAGGAAATAAGTGGGCGAGGGGGGGGGGGGGTTACCTGCAATGTTCTTTCTATATTAGTCGCAAGCTATAGTATTTGGCTCTAAATCTAAAGCATTTTTTAGTTTCGAATTTTCTGAATTAAATTTTAATATGCAAAATGTAAAATACTTGCATTTGGCTTTTACATGTTGAGCTTTTGTCATAAAAAATATATAGAAAAATATTATACTTGTAAATTGTTTACAGTGTTTTGTAAGTCTTAAAATCCAGATGTTTGAATAAATTTTATTTTTAAATGCATTTCACAATTTATTAGCAAGCAAAACAAGGCGACTGCACGTTTTTAAATAAATAACAACCAACCAATATTAATAATGATAATTTAAAAAAAAAAAAAAAAACAGGAAAATACTTGTAATTAAATATAACTCGTTTTTAGTGATGAGGAATAATTTCCATCCTGAAAAGTATACGCATATTTTCGCCCCGGTTTTGATTTAAAGTCAAGTTCCCCTGATTTTCAAATAACGTGCGCACATACAATCACTCAAGTTACTCGCTAAGCAATTTTTTATTCATGATAACTTTCTTTCAGCAAGCCATAACTTTAACGCTGATTTATTCTGATTGACTTTTAGCAGTTAAGTTACACTTCTTTCTTACACTGCTTTCATTTGGTATTGTATTTAATTAGTCCTAAGACATTACATATAATCACACCAGAATTCAGACTGAATTTTAATCATAAAACATGTACGAGGTTTACGTACAAAAGCATGCACTTTTTGTTAAATCTACTTTTAAATTCGTACAGACTTGAAGTCATTTGCAGAGAATTAAACGGGAAACAACGTGACGTTGCTTTTGTGACGTAACTGACGTCATAATCAAATGTGCACAAAACAACCGCTCGAATCGTCAAAATTGTGTACCAAAATTGATGACAAAAGCAAACCCGCGACCTACCTTAATGTAAAAAATTCTTCCTCGTTATCTATTTTTAAAAACTTTATTTCTTACAATAAACAAATGCCACCCTCTTACTTTAGTTATGGAACTCGACGCTTAAATATATTTCACACGAGGCTTAGATATAACCGTGTGCTTAATAGCGATCTTTTTCGATGTAATGTAATCTTGAGTCCACTATGTTCTTGTGGAAGAGTAGAGGATACTCATCATTATTTCTTCTCATGCAAAAAATATACAGAAGCCAGGAAAGATTTTTTTGACAAATTTTGCGAATGGGTAAATTACACACTGTCGATACTCACACTTTACTCTGGGTAGACAGTATTAAAATCGTTAAATGATGTTGAAAATTAATACCTATTTTCTATTGTACAAACTTTTATTAAAAAGTCAGGACGATTTGGTTGATACAATAACTAGACAGTATTAAAATCGTTAAATGATGTTTAAAATGAATACCTATTTTCTATTGTACAAACTTTTATTAAAAAGTCAGGACGATTTGGTTGATACAATAACTATTTCTAATTGTAAATCTTATACAGCATGTCTATTACATATGGAATGTATTCTTTTGAATGTGTTTTACTCTGATTATTATATATTATGTTTTTCTGTGTTATTTCATTTTAAGCTGAAACCCATGTATGTAAATATGTTTGGTATAATGTATATGTAGGGAGAGGGCGTAATAAGTTTTTAGAACTTTTGCCCAATCCCAATTGTAAAGTATAATCAATAAAATATGTTCAAATCAAATCAACATTTTTATGTCCCTATACAATTAGTTGTTTGCTATAACCTGACATTTTATGTTTATACTCACTAACTGAAGAAATCAATAGTTCAATCTTTATTCAAGACCTAAGGGCATTAGATCTATTTGCAGTTGTTAAAGGGTTTTTTAAGTGTGGTGTTTAGATTAACATTTGTAGGAAAGGGTGGTTGGTTTGTTTTTATTTCAGATGAAGACCGCAGAGCCAAAGAAGAGTATTTTTGTACATTTATTTGATAAAATCTAACTAAATATTAAAAAATATATATATATATCCTGTTGTCTTTCGTTCAACTTTCAGCCCCACAATGTTACTCCGCTAAACATAGACAGCCGTAAGTCGTTACAGTTACATTAATTTGCCGATGTTCCTAAATGGCATTTGACGCCGACCCATTGATGTTGATTAATCTAATTCAAACAAGATGTCAATTATCGGTCATTTGATAGCTATGCAGAGCAAATATATGTACTGTGTAAATCAAAAAGACGCTCTATTTTATGTTTAACATAATTGAATGTTGAACGAAAGAGAACATTGTGTTTTCTTGAAGAATTTTCAGTAGAACATGTAGAAAAAAAGAATTATGTTACAGTCATGGCACAATTTTCACTAAAACAGAATATATATTTGAATTGAGTAACGTAAACCAACATTTACTTGCGTGCTAAAATATCCACAAAATTCGCGACCTACTTTAAATCACGAATATAATTCACTATTTATTTTGCTTAATATTTGTAAAGAGTGTTTTCTTATTCGAGAAATTTAATTGTTGTGGCTTAATTTCTTGACCATTCGCTTGTAAAAGGTGACGCGAGTTATAGTTGATTTAGAGTACAACTGTTTATTTCTTTCAGTTGTAATATCCTTTGCTTTAATTAAGGCTACTCTTTTTTACCACCCTTTGCTTTAATTACGGCCACTGTTTCTTATAACTTTCATGAATACGAATTATTTATCATTGTCAAAAGTTTCTTTAGTTATAAAAAGTTTTCTCACACAGAACATATTTGTGAAGTCCAGATCTACAATAAGATTATGGAGTTACACTATTGAAGCTCTGAATTTAATGTCTCATCAAAATTTGCCTTGGATCTGGAAACCATTCATTTAATCATTCCCGTCAATATTCCAATTAGCAATAGTTTTTACTCCTTATCATTTTCAAGATGAAATTTTGTGACTCGTCCAGTTACTTTGCATGTCATTGTCATCTCAATTTCCGTACCACCAAAAGCCATTTGAACTTCCACAGTGCTTGCACCTAAGAATTTTCCATTTTCAAACTCTAGATCTTTTCCACCTAAATAAAAGCACCCTGCATCAGTTACATATGTTGGATTTTCCTCTAAACTAGCATAAACAGCTACTCTAGCAAAATTTGCCTCTTCCTGCTTGGTGTATGTTTTTGTTGATTGGCTTTTTCCTGCAATGAGCGTGTCACCGATTGTAACATGACGACAAAATATATTACAACACCAGAAACTTCCTTCACTTTTTATTTTGTATTCTTCTTTATGTTTCCCCTCTTCAAATTCCTCCCAACACCTTATTCCGTAAGTGTATTTTGCTTTTCTTTCAATGATAAGATTTGGATTATGACCAAATATGACAGCACCTTTTAAAACTGATAGTCCTGCATCCTTTGGCACAAGCAATTCCTTATCTTGAAAAGCGGTCTTAATAGCACTTTGTAGGATAGGAGACTCGGCGTATCCCCCAACAAGAAGGATTAAACCAACATCCCTTGTATTCTGCTTTTGAAAGATCTCTTTCAAATGATCACAAATCTTTGCTATAGATCTATCAAAAAAGGTTCGGAAATAACTTCCTTTGATACGGATTCTTTCGTCAGAAATGACCACATTATTTGCTAAGCTGGATGATGCAATCATATCCATAGAGAAACTATTTCCGGTTTCTTCTTCATATAATGTCACCAAAGACTCTGAAACATAAAATGAAATTCTCTCAACTTTTGAGTGAAAAGACCGTTTCTTTGTTTCTATTTCTCTTGCAAACTCAAGAGCATCCTCAGGGTATTCGTGACGAAACTTCTCCATTAAATCTTTTCCTATGATTTTCTCATAAAGTTTCTGCACTTCCTCATCGACATTAGTTCCACCCCAATTACCACCAGAAGCTTTGTAAAGTTCGCGCACATGTCCTTCGTCATCTACCATTTCATGGACAGTTATGTCCACTGTCCCACCTGCAAAATGTGTACACTCAGTGAGCACTCAATAAAATTGAACTGTGTTTTTATACCTCCGCTTGAAAAGCGGGAGGGTACAGTACCGACCAGACCCAAGATGACACCAAAGCAGTCCCAGAAAGCAGTCCCTGCTTTGGGGCTGCTGTGGGACTGCTTTGGGACCGCTGTGGGACTGCTCTGCGACCACTATGGGACTGCTCTGGGACTGCTCTGAAAAGCAGTCCCAGCTGTCCCTGGGACTGCTTTGTGCACTCATGTGTGAAAAACTTTCTGAGTGACAGAATAGTTCCGCCCAGATCGATAGATCCGGGGCGTATATTCTTTTTGTCCTGTCTGTCTGTCTGTTTAGCTGTTTGTCTGCAAACTTTAATCTTCGCCACAACTTTTGAACCATGAAAGATAGAGACTTTATATGTGGTATACGTACTCCACTAATTAAGCTCTTTCAAAAGACACCAAGGTCATTGACCTTTTGACCTTGACTGTGACCTATATGCTAAAAATATTTTTTTTCTGCAAACTTTAACCTTCCCTGTAATTTTTGAACCATGAAAGATAGAGACTTCATATTTGGTATGCATATTTCACTTATCACGTTCTCTACTTATTAAACTCTTTCCAATGATACCAAGTACAACGACCTTGTGACCCTATCTTTGTCATATATGCTAAAAATAGCTTTTGTGAACCTTAACCATAACTTTTGAACCATGAGAGATAGAGACTTCATATTTGCAATGCATATTTCACTTGTCACGTTCTTTCAAATGACACCAAGGTCAATGACCTTGTAGCCTTGACATTGACCTATATGTCAAAAAACTTTTTTCGAACTTTGTAGCCGCCGGGCGCATAGTGTTTCACAAACACATCTTGTTTTACTTTTTGATTGGACACAAATTTGGTTTCCCAAAGCAAAACATGCACACTGCCATTAAACTCGTATGGGAGGCGATCGGCCTTCAACTCGACATTCAGATATATCGACGACGTATTGTCAATAAACAATGGTGATTTTCATCCCTACATCGATACGATATATCCTGGTGAGCTTGAGATAAAAGATACCACAGAGTCTCACAAATCTGCTTCATACTTGGATATTTTACTTGCAAAAGACATTAATGGTAATCTAACAATAAAGCTATATGATAAAAGTGATGACTTTCATTTTTCTACCGTCAACTTCCCTTACTTATGCAGCAATATACCTTCGTCACCTGCATACAGAGTGTACATATCTCAGTTGATTCGATATGCAAGAGCTTGCTCTACGTATGAACAATTTCAAAAACGAGGTAAATTATTGACAAGCAAGTTGATGAAACAGGAATATAAGCCGTCTCGTTTAAAGTAATCATTTCGTAAGTTCTATGGTCGATACAATGATCTTGTCAGCAAATACAATTTTTTGTTGAGTCAAATGTAGACTGACATTTTTCATACTTATTGTTAGTCCATTATTTATACACTGAATTGACGATGGATTTTTCCGTTATTTCCTGATCATGACAAGGAGCACACGGCGGGTGTGACCGGTCAGCAGGGGATGCTTACTTCTCCACGGCACGTGATCCAACCTCACCTCTGATGTTTCGGAGGTCCGTGTTTGCTCTGCTCTTATTCTATATTGTTTTATGACTTTGAGGTTGAATACTGTTCGTTATCTCCATATACTTTTACTAAGCTCATTGCTGACAGTGCCTCTAGTTTAATTATTAAAATACATGTAACCTCACAATATCATACTGATTTATCTTTCTATATTGTCTGCAATCTGTTTGGAAAATATAATTTAAGCATAAGTATCCCCGTCAGCGAGTTTTGGATTGAGAGTAAAATAGTAAAAAATGTTGAATTTATCAACTTGTATATCTGAAATTCTACAAATATTAAACTATTGTAAAAGATTTGAATAAAACTTTATAAAGTCATACTATTTAAATGATCGATATTTCATAATTATAGATATTTACAGGGGCTTGAAAATGTTTTTTTATATCAATATCTGTATCTAACACATCACCACTTAGGGTGAATACCTTCGACTCCAAATTGTGGAAACGGTTGCAAAACCAATGAGAATCGTGATATAATTGGTTTCAATATTTTCTTTTAATCTAAACGGACATGTCGTTTCTATGAAGATTGTCAAAAAGTAAATAATCAACCAGTGTTTCCTTAGGTATCCCTGATAAAAAATAACTTAAGACACATACGTAAATGGTTTCCTCATAGATTTCGAGGACCGTTCTCGGTAGCTCAGTCGGTAGAGCTCTCGCTCCGTGATCGGGAGGTAGTGAGTTCGTATCTCGGCCGCGACTGACCTAAGTCGGTAAAAAATGGATAGCAACTGTTCCTTCGCCATGCGCTCGGTACTTTGAAGTGAAAGTTGCGGGTCCTTCGGATGAGACCTTAAAAACCGAGGCCCCGTGTCAGCGGCAGGCGTTGGCACGATAAAGATTCCTCACTGCTCAATGGCCCTGAGTGCCGAGTAAAGTCAAAATTTGAAGCCCTTCAGCGGCATACGGTGACGGTTACATATGAGTGAAAAATTCTCGAGAGGGACGTTAAACAATGTACAATCAATCAATCAATCATAAATTTCGAGTACGACAAGAATTAATATGTAGTTTTCGAAATATTTCATCATTGAAAAATCATGAAACATACAATAACAAAATTGCACGTAAGTAATTCTTTCAAATCACATTTATTATGTGAAATAATATTATGCGATCTTAAACCTTTTATTTCGAATATCAGTTAACATTATATTCTTGGTTAAAATAATAAACTCACGTTTGAATATCAATTCAAATAAAGAAGCGTTACGTTTTATAAAAATCAATTTATCTGATCGTATAAATTGAAATATTCCCATTTTCATTTGTTATAACTGTTATAACTCTTTGAAAGTTAGACGATTTGAGTTCTTGATCATTCTGTCGGCATACAAATTATGCCAATCAATGCTCGTACGTCGGAAGATAAGGAGGCCCAATGCGCATGTAAATCTCGTGAGTATGTCTGTTTCTGACGCTAAGGAGTCTTAATATGCATGTAAAAATCTTGCGGCTGTCTTTGTGTTCGAAGAAATTGGGCGGGGGCTTTTGAAATTGACATGGAAAGCCTCTGTCTCTTGTTTTAAATATCTGAATTTATAATTTTATTTCAGAATTGAAAGGAAATATGTGACACAATTGTGTAATTTTAATTGTAGAGTATGCTAGGTATATCAACGATAGTTGGGTTTGAAAAGTGGGATAATTCCGCCCGTTATGCAAATTGCCTTTTATGTTTCCAGCTATCGATGATGCCCTAGAATATTCTACTAAACAGACAGTGATTCCTTAAATCAATGCCCTTATCCTTGCCCACGTGCCAGTTTAAAGGTGGAGATACATAATGCAAAGACATCAGTCTGCTCTACTGTTTTGTTTACTTGTATTTTATGTACATTCTTTGTGATTTGAAATATATTTTATACCAATGGAAACAATAGGCTGTGATTATGCCTGTATATGCATATAGTGTATTCAAATTAAGTATGGTGGGCTTTGCTTGTCAAAGCTTATAAATAGCCAATTAAAAACTTGATAAAAAAAAAGAATATATACTGAAAATGAAGGAAATAAACTACATTTTAAATATTGATTTATAATGCGGGACCTAAAGTAAAATTAGGAATTATTCTTCAGTATTTATTAAAAAATCCGAATCTTTAAATGTTTTAAGATTAGTGTAATTACCAGTATGTATTATCAAGAATATTTTTTTCACATGATTTTCAAATTCAATTCGCAGGAAAAAAATAAAAAGAAAAAGAAATGGGCATTAAATCTTGCTCACCACCTGCGTCGCAAACTAAATACTTCGTCCCATTGGTAATTCTGATGTGACTGTCAGGGTTTATGACTGCCACAAAGTTGCTGTACATAGCCGCCGCTTCTGGTTCTAAGGCTATTACTAATCTTTCGTCATCAATTCCAGCCTAAAACAAATAAGGTATGCACATGTTGATATCATCAGTTACACATATATTCCAAACCCATATAAAGTAATGTATTTATAAAAACATCAAGCATTTTTTCATTTAAAGATTTTTTTTTTTTTTTTGTGAAAATATCAGTGCATTTAAATTTAACAGTCGTTACATAATTAGCTTTATTTATTTTAAAGGGATATGAACACAATTACAACTGAATATTTTAACCAGTTTTAACGCTCACAATTCCTAACTATTGCATCATCTAATGATCAGCAAAAATTTGAACATCATTTATTGCTACCCTTGAGCATAAGTCTCTCATAGCACTCAAAAATATACCAGAAAGGTCTTACTCATTTTCAAAATTTAGAAAAAAAATCATTTGACTAGCATCATGAGCAATGAAAAACGCAAATTCTTCAAAATGTAAACAAGGCTTGTGCCTCGTTTTTGTTAACATATAGAAAATATTTTATTCATAACAAAATGATATTCAGCAAATCATTAGATTCTGTCTAATTGTATGTAGAATTAACTTCTGTATTGAAATTATCCGCTTTGAATGAACATATATTAGTATAGTAATCGGTGTAAACAAAACATGACACCGACCCTGTCTATATATTAACAACGGTTTGGAGCTCTAAATCCGTCTTGTATCTCGACAGCTGAAGTTCACATTTTTTATGTTCATTAGAAAGAACTTAGTAAAATATTTGTAAAAATAAAAAAAAAAACTAAATTTATTTTTTTTAACTGAAATGTGTTCATGTCCCTTTAAACATTGTACAAATCTTTACGTTGTTTTAATATCAGAAAGGATATTGGTAACGAATACAAGCAATCTGCAGAAAGAGAATGCTTTATGTGTATCTAAAATACATGGTGCTATCTAGAAGTTAAACCCCATTCCATATAAACAAGGATGTTTCTTAACCGATCATTATTTTTTTTAAATAGGAGTTTGTAGACTCTTATCGTAAATACGATTTTTCGTAAAACATCGGACATTGTTTTGAAAACCTATAGAAGAAGAAGAAAACTCTGGCTGTTGCCTTCAATCGGAACCGTAGTATAATTTCTTGTATGTTGTTTTATGACCTAATAGAATTTATTCACTCAGTTGTAGAGACGCCACTGTATACAGATGAAGCTATATATCTTAAACTATACTTGGCACCAAGAACCAGTAAGAACCGAGGTTCTTTAACGTAGCTAGAACAGCCTACTGTGTCATAGAACTTCGATCGAATAAGGTCTCATCCAAAGGGCCCTTGAATGTCACTTTTCCTGCCATGAGCTTGATTTTGGTGAAGGAACAGTCATTTAACCTATGTTTAAATCTTAGGACTTGGGCGGTGTGACTCACAAATTAAACCCTAGCCATTAGATCAAGAATGAATGTAATATCTCAAAAAATTGCGTGACTGGGTATTCTCCATTGAAGCAGAATTTCAAATATTTCCCATTGAGGATAAAAAAAGAGTTCCCTTATACTCGACTTTCAGATTTATCAAGTACGATATCGATGATTTGAAAAAAAAAATGAATCTACACTACATTATAAAGCGTTTATCCAAGTTACATTTTTTTAATGGCCCTGTGATTCTCAAAAAGAGATTTTTTGGAAAGGAGAAGAGGCCACAAATGCTATAGCTCGAATAGTGGGATTTTCAGCGGGCAAAAATCCTTTGCTTGTTTTGCGATTTTGTGTAGATCACTGAAATCTTATCTGCTCTCCTGCCTACTTCACAAGATCAAATGCATAATCAGGCTATATTTTAAAATTATACGTTTTTAAACTCTTGTGTAAAATGCACATGTAGGAGAAACATCTGGATAATATATTTATAATCATGAAGTACTTTCTCCTTAATGACTGCAAATTACGACGGGTGATCAAAAGGTTAAATATACTTATTGGAAAACCTTTCATAAAAGAAAAAAAGTAGGATTTAGTGTTTATTTTTTTAGTAGCCTACTGTGGTTTTAATGCATATTAGCTAATGTTCTGCCTTTTTGTTCCACACGACATCGTACAAAAAGAGCACCCAAATATCCATACGCCAGACTGGGTAGCGCCTAAGCAGCCGCCAAAAGGGCAAAACTCTCTAGTCGTAGTACTACGATTCAACCAAACAAAATTCACCTTCATAAATCGACCTACCCCAATTTGACACACCTTGCGAAACACTTGGCGTTCCTTTGTCAGAGGAAAACACCGCAGGTCCTACAACATATCAATTATTTCTAGCGCAAGGGATTAACACCATAACTAAATCATCTTAAAAATTTGTTCCTAGATATAAAGTTGACGCCCTGAAAGCCCAACTACAGAAAACATCCTCGCATCGCAAAATTTAAAAAATACAATCATTAGTGGGATCTTTGGAATTTATTTCCAACGCAATACCTGCAGAGAGAGCCTTCTGTAAGGGATTTTATCACAGCCTATCACAGAGACACAAAAGACCATTATATCACTATATCAAAAATGTAGATACATGGCTGGAGTTTCTGTCGGACTTTAATGGCAATACTGTATTTCCAGATATTAACGGGTCAGATAAGGACACAATCCATATAGCTCTTTGCAGCTTTGGCTCACTTTAGTGTGGGGTCATGTTTGGTACATAATGTCCCTACCAACAATAGTCCAAGTCGCTCTTGCAATTTACATATGGTGCCACAAACTCCAAGACAAAAAATTAATCAACCAAGAACATCAAAGTCACCAAGAGTTACCCTCCTCAGACCCCATCTTTACAAAATATTAAAATGCAATATCCAAGTCTGCTGTGAACATATACATATGTACCAGGTCATTCTAGTTTTATTGCAGATGCCATATCTCGAAGTTCAGTGAATATTTAGATATGTACTAAACATAACCAATGACAAATTAATCATACCTTCTTGTTCATTATTCTTTAAAACCTTTCGTAATTTAGATACGTTGTTTAATTCCTATGATGAAGAAATTTGTGCGTACCTGTTCAATTAAATTCGAGATCACGTGACAAAAACAATACCGTCTTTTCGCAGCATCATATTTCAAGGACTAATGAGGAGAGTAGCATATCAGAAACCATTGGCAAGCAAAGACGACTCTACACCCAAAACCTATCAAGCAGACTTAAGATTCCACATGAAATTTAGTAATTTCCAAAGACCCATGCCAAGTTTTCATAATCAAGACATTGCTCAATGGCTTTAAACAACTTAAACATAGAAAAAATTCAAGAGGCCCCATAACATTTCCACTATTAGATAAGATAATAAACTCTTTGCAGCAAATACTATTATGAAAAAGTTACACATATCCTCTGTATATGGCCTTGCATTCTTCGCTTTACTTCGAGTCGGTGAAATAACTACCACTAGGGCAAACCCGTACACTTCTCCGTTATCAATACAAAATGTATGCACCTCACAATCATCCATACTGATCACATTAGAGAAAACCAAAAGAGATCAGCATGGCAAGGGCACAACAATGCAAATTAACAACACATAGCAAAATCAGATCCTATTCAAAAACATACAAGAATACATGACCCATAGACCTTCACAGACTCAAACATCAAAGTTCTTATGCCACATGCATGACTCACTCACGATCTACTAATCAACTCAATCAAATACAAAAGAAAACTCTTTCATGCCTGAAATTTGATATTTAAACATTCAAATTCCATTCATTACGCATAGGGGTTGCAACGTCATTGTATATGCAAGGTAATTAAAGCAATGTTTAGATGAAAATCCAACGCTTTGAAGTCTTATGTTGGTCCGAATACTGTAGTCCTGTAAGCTAAGTTTACAGGAACTTGCTGCAAGGTATGGATCGTTGGATGAGCTTAAGATTACTGCAAATGTTCAACAATTGAAAGATCTAAGTGATATTCAATGCATTGTTGACTAAATATGGAGTTTCAGATTTTCAGAAACACACAGGGCCAAAGAAGGCAAAAGTGAACCTTGTTCTTTGTAAACTATTCTTTCTGTAGCTTTGAAATTAAACCACAAACATTTAGACTGATTATTTCAAGTGTTTTTTTTTTTTCTTTCGAGACATTTTTGCTTGTTATGGTTCCCGATTGTATTGAAGACTGCTCTGTAGCAACCTCTAATGATAAAACGCCGCTTAATGATACAAATATCATTAAGCGTTGCAATTGCAACGCTTAATGCCATCAATTATTGCATTAATAGCTGACATTCTCAACCGCTAATGCTTAATCGCCGCTTAATGATAGAATTATATCATTAAGCGTCACAAATTCAATGCAACACTAACACTTAATGAAACAAGCAAATATCGACATAGTCGACGACTAATGATACACACTAGTGTATCATTAAGCGTTGCAGTTGCAACCTTTAATGATATAAAATATAGAAATGGCTTGTAATATCTAAGAGAAACACACATCCACCTTTCCTGAACAATGAGATATCACTTGTCAAAACATTTATATATGCCCTTGTGCTATATAAATGGTAATTATTGAAGTTTTACTGTGTTTTCTAGCTAGTCAAGGGAACTTCTTTTAGCCACGGATGTTTAAGAGACAGACAGTCAGATAGTTGAGAGAAAGAGATACAGAAAAAGAGATAAATAAAATGATATTCAACTTCTTTAAAAAAACATTTTTTTGCTGAAAATACAGAAGCGAGCAAGCAAATTCCTTTTAATTTGATACAATAAATTGAATAGTCAACCTAAAATATATATACAGTCAAACCTGTATTAAGAGACCTTCCAACGGAGAAAGGAAAAAAGGTCACATATGACAGGTGGTCTCTTAATACAGGTTGCTTATTTTCCACAGTGTTCAAATATACAATGCTGAAAATATCACAAGTGTATATTGAATGTACATGTATTTTATAACACCTTCTTTCACAGGTTACTGCTCAATTAACTCTGAAATGCTTTTTACAATTGTCCTGTTAAGAATTAAAAATTTGCGTGATCCACACGTGAGTCATTTAATTAT